AACTCAAATATCAAATAAGAACCATGACGCTGAAGACAGCGTTTCTCTAGATCAGATTGTATCCAATATCTTGATTGCAACTTGTGTACTCGACCTTTTTAAAGTATTTTTATAATCATATTTATGATATTATTGATGATAGTTGTACATTATGACTTAAATTTTATTGATTTCAAATTGTGCATAACCGAAATAAATGCTTTATTGAGTTAACTTATTTACTTATCATAATCTATGTTTATCGAAAAAGGTCAGCGTTTTGTTATTAAAATGCTAACGGTTTCTAAATACATAAGATCTTATTTTTAATCCGATATTTTGTGCAGAGATTTTTTATTAACTGCCAATTTTCTTTGAATTATGTTTTTAATGTCCAGATTACTAAAAATTTAGAATGTTTTATCAGAACATATTTAATAAGTAATTTTCTCTTTCTTAATGGTTAGGCTTTTTATTGAAGATTTTATTTGATTACTTAAAATGATAAAAATGTTTTTAGAAGTCTTCTAATTATTTACTTGTTATATTATTTTAATACCTCAAACCACTTAAAAATCGTATTTAATTTTTTTAACGATTTCTTTCATTAAAATGGTCCTTTTTAAATTGTATGAATTTTATCGTTTAATCTCGAATTGTTAAGTGTTCAATTGGTGCTATCATTACTCTAATAACATTAATAATTGGCAGTTGACTAATTGTTTAGTTATTTTTCAGTGATAAATAATGATTCATTTTACTTTTGTAAGGCATACCATAGTAAAAATTAAAACAAATATTTAGTACTTGCTAAATACCCGCTCTTTGTATAAAGGGAAAAAAGTAATCAATAAAAGCTAAGCAACGATTCAAAAATCAAGCACAAAACTGAAAAACATATACCAATATGGTGAATAAAATGTTAAAATAATTATAATTTTATTTTATTACTATATTTTGTCCTAAACAGTCGCTTTACGTTATTGAAGTAAACTACTAAAAACTTGTTTTGCTTATCTTATAAAAATGAAGATTAAATTTATTCAGTATCATTTGACATGATGCTTTTGCTCGAGGTTAACTCGTGATTTTAAAAATTTAAAGCAGTCAAGCTATTTTCTCTGGTACTTTTCCCTTTCGGAGTTCATGTTGATCATTTAGTTTATAACGAATAAAAAAAATTATCTGAAGATTAAAAATCATGCGATGATCTTTTTCTTTGTGAGCTATCAGGTAGTAAACATCTGTGATAACTTAAAAGTATTTGAAAAGAAACATAATCGTTTGCATTTTAGTTTTTATCAATGACAACTTCTAAACAGCTCTCGAACAATCTAATTTAAATTTTAGAATTTTTGGGATCGAGACTAAATTACCCCTTTAACTCACACTGTCCAAATTTCAGAACGCTAGCTCAAACTATTTTGGAGTTATAAGATACAGACACATAAGATGCACGCGAGAATTTTTTGGTATGATACAAATATCTGGATTATCTTTTTGTATTCTAACTTTATTTCTTAAACGAAAAATAAAATAAATTTGTGTAGCACGTACTATTTTAATTTTAAACTTTTACCGAAATTTTCGAGGCACCAAATGCTGTTCAAATTTATCGTATCGATATATTCTAATGTTTAAAGCAAGAACTGCTATAGCTGTGTCATAACATATTAAATTTCTTTTTCGAAATGTATTTGGATTTAGTTTAAAAAGTTTAAAATTTGGATTAAGAAAATTTTATAAAATCATTTTTTAAAAAAAAAATCTATGATAAACTTATCCAATGCAAATTGTGACTCCTAACCCTTGCATCACTGTAATTCAATTCATAATCACCCACTTGAACGCTGCTAGCTCAAAGGGTTAAAATTCCAATCTCAAAAAATCAGTACAAATCATTTGAGTTCGCAAAACCGCAACGTTCATGTTAGCAGGTCGTGTTTGATGGATTAAAAAAAAGAAAAAGTGAGGCATGCGAAGGAAAAAGTATCGTCCTTCACGGGAATAGGTAAAGCAGAAGAAAATTAAAAAAGAATCCAAGCGGCCTTCACTGCAGTTATCGAGCAAGTCATTCAATTGTAACATTACAGCAATCGGCCACAGCACGTAATAGTGAGTGCTCCTGTCGTTATGCATTCCCAGCTTAACTTGTCGTGTACAGACTGGTCGGAGGGCGGAAGAAAGTAGTTCCCCCTCTCTCTGGAAATTAGGTCGCGGAGGAAAAGGGCAGCCACCACTGTGGATCACTCGTATCCCATTTTCATCTGTGGCTCTGTGAGCGGCAGGGAAAGTCATCTAGTGGTTCGTTGTGGGACGCCCTAAGGATATCAGCAACAGGTGAGAGTCGTTTCGTGAAAGTGTTTTCTTCGCTCTTTTTTTTCGGGTGATGGCCCGTGGGATGAAGTTTCGGAAGCGGAAGCTTTTTGGATGAGTTTTGATTTATTTGTTTTGCTTTTGTGTGATCTGGAATTGCTTACTTTTTTTGAAAGTCTATTATATGGATTATGAGTAGTTTATGTGATCGTGTTTCAAAACTGAACCCTTTTCACCTTGTGGATTAATAATTGGAGATATAGTTACTACTAGAACAAGATGGTTTCTTTTTAGTGCTATTTCATTCCTGAGGATTTACTTTACCGATAATTAGACCAAGTGATATTTAGACCTATGTTTAAAATTAGCCTATAATTTTGTATTCTTTTATCGCTCTTTATAATGAAACTTGTGATATTAGGACAGTGTGATCTTCGTACTAATTTGGTTTATATTTTTGCTTATAAACTAGATTTCACATTTATAAACCTTCGTTCTAATGCTAGTTCATGCGAGTTTTACTAGTTAACACAATTGCTATTAATCAAAAAGATAGAGAATTTACATTATTTATACTTGAAGCAGATTGTTTTGATTAACTTGTTTGCTATGTTTTAAAAATTTAGTGCTTTGCAGTTATGATTTAATTCTAAATATAGTGACTCTACTTCCAAAGCTATTAGTTGATAGTGGTATATTGAAACTATAATATGTTACTTTGAAAGCTTCAAATTTGACTCAATTATAAATAAAATAGGTTCTACATATTTCACTCAACTTAGTAATACATAATTCAAGTCATCATGCTATTTAATGCAATGATTTTAGCATCATACTTCGATGAACTTGTTTTAAGCATGTTATGCAAAGAAAACTCTAAATTCTGATCTAAAGAAAAATGCGAAAAAAGTAACACAGTATTAAAAATAGGAAGCATAATCTGCTGAACTGTACTTGAAGTTGTACATTGTCCTGTTTGATTTGAGTTATTTTAATAGTATTCAGTAAATTTATTCCTTAAAAAAAACTAAAACTTTGTTATGTTCATGCATTATTTTCTTGATAAAATAGTGCCCAAGGTATTAACTAATTCTGACAACAGAAAAGCTTCATAATATATATATTTATAATTCTGAGATTTTGGATAGATGACTCCTTAATTAATCAATGGCTAATGAAATTTAGAGATTTTTAATCCTTATTAAATAAAATAAAAATTTTGAATCTATACAATTGGAGGTAATTCAAATATTTTGAATTTAAAATCTGATTTGTTGCTTGATTTGTTTTAAGTATTCATCTAGGAAATCTGCAAGAGAGTTTTTGCCCTGTTAATATTTTGTATCTGGCCTTAATAAAAGGGTACTATACTAGTTTATTCAAAGAAATCTTAACTATAAATAAAACTTAAATTCTACTAATTTTATTGGTCTTAAAAAGATAACTGGTTTTACTTTTATTGCTCTGTTTTATATAAAAACTAAAGGAAATGTGTGATAGTGAAATAAACTGACAGTTATTGTTTATAACCTAGAATAATAAATGAAAAGGATGTTGAACTGGATGGAGTGCAGTTATATGTTAGAAATGCGGGTATTATTTCACTACTTGTCAATTTTATTGATTTCTCCTTTTGTCTATAAAGCGGAAGCTGATGACGTTTATTATCTTACAATTTGGTCACCTCGTAGACATGTATTATTGCTTAGTTTATTTTTAATTTTTCTTTATTAAATTTATTAAGTTCTTTCGCTTTGAGCCTAAGAAATAGTTTAAAATAATTCATTAATTTAGTAAATTGGTTAAAAACTTACGTTCATTTATTTTAAAATAAAGTTTTTTAACAGTGCAGTTTTATGTAGGCAATGCTTTCATTTTTTCTTAAAACTATTTAACTCTAAAATATAATTTTTATTTAACTTTCCTTAGTGTACTTTTTTTTAATGCCTTTTAATTAGTCTAAGTTTTTCCTTTTTTTTTTATTCTTAGCTATGATTTTTTGAAAATGTATTTATTTAAAAATATACTTCATTTGAAAATGACTCCACAATAAACGTTTACATTAAATATTTGTTTTATTAGCTATAAAATATATTAATTTTTGAAGCCTGTTGTTGTGAAATGTAGCTAGTGGTTATTATTTAAGCAAAAATTGTATTTTTCAGCTTTATATGTAATTTAATGCATTTACTTTAAATGTAATTTAACGCTAACCTTTATGTACTCAATAGCAACAAAAAATAAACTCGAACTTCACAATAACACTTCGTAAAGAACTTAGTTGAAACTTAAAAGTATGACTTAAATTTATCTGATGTTTGTAAATCTTACAAAATAAACAGGTTTCTTTAGGAGTTATAAAGATATCTTTAAAGATTGGTGCAATATAAACTGGTGCATAATAACTAATAAAAGGTTAATGTTCCATTAATTAGGGTACCTTATTATAACTGAGTGTTTGCAGAATATGTTAAAACTATAATTCAACCACCTTTTAATAAAAAAAATTTAAAAGATATCGAAGCAAATACTGTACTGTAGCAAGTCATCTATTTTGTTATAGCCTCATGATATTTCTACTTATGCTGAAATCGTTTTTTTTTTTTTTTTCTAACCTTATATATCTAAACTTATTAATTTTGTACAATGCTCTAATTATTACGTAGCAGATTACTAAGATTATCATAATTGATGTCTGTTTTCAGTCTGATCAATCGACAGAGGCAACGCCAGAGCGGTTGCGGCAGCGTCTTGAAATGGGAGGTAACCGAGAAGGGGCTCAGCTGGCTGATGGTCAGCGTTTCGCAGTCCTCAGCTATGAACAAGTCAGTAAGCTCGATGCAGTCATGGAAGAAGTCATGCCCATCCATGGTCGAGGCAACTTTCCAACTCTTGAAGTGCGGCTGAAGGATCTCGTCAAAGTTGTCAGAGCCAAATTGGAGAGCGAGCAGTCCGTACAAGTCCGGGATATCCGGTTGAACGGTGGCGCCGCCAGTCATGTGCTCGCACCCGAAACTTCCACATACAATGATCTCGATCTTATTTTTGCTGTGGATCTTTCTAATCAGCGCAACTTTGACAAAGTGAAGACTGCTGTCCTGGACTCCTTGCTAGATTTTCTACCAGAAGGTGTTGTCAAAAAGCGCATAAGTACTTGCAGTCTGAAAGAAGCTTACGTCCATAAAATGGTTAAGGTAAGACTATATGCATTTTGATTTGGTTAGTTTAGAAGATCTTGATTATTCCATTGGTTTCGCGTGGTTTGATTATTGAATTGACATATTTTTAACTAAATTCGGTGTGAGAACCTAGAGGTTTTTTCTTGACCCTAAACAATATAGACAAATAAGGTAAAAGGTTGCTGAACTTGTTTTGCTTTGGCATAATTTTAAAAAGTGATTTAAAAGATTCATTCCTATGATGCATTTTATGCAATGATACCAACAATAATCTGATCTGTCTGTAATTTTAATGGTTAAAATTTGTTGAAGCTATAATACTAAGTGTCAGTTTAGCCAGATGATTAATCGGTTTATCACGAGCAATCGCCTTTTTTGTCAATCTCTTTTTCGACCCAACAGAAATTATAGTGATAGCCAGGTTTAGGTTGATGCAGCTTCGTCCGCATGATGAAAGTTCTTTTCATCGTCAATCACTAGTACCCAAATGACGAACATTCGTAATTTGTATCTTGCAATACATTATCGAACAATGCCAGTAAGTGGTCAATGAGGGTTGCAAATAAGGCCAACCGGATATGTTAATATGGAGAGGTTTTAGCTCATGTCATAAAGACGAAGCTACCTGACTTATACTTATATATATAAGACAACGAGGCATCATCCACAGTCTTAAATACAAATTATTCTGGTCAACTGATAGTTCAGTTTTTGATTGTTCGTAAATCTCTTTCTGTAAGCCAAATATGTTTAAGCTATTATGTTACTAAAATGTTTATAATAAATGTAATGTTATAAATTAAATATATATATATATATGTTCTATTTTAGGTAACAAATGGTGACCGATGGAGCTTAATTAGTTTGAGCAACAACAGGGGACGAAATATCGAGCTGAAATTTGTCGACACAATGCGTCGACAGTTCGAGTTCAGTGTCGACTCCTTCCAGATCATCCTTGACTCACTTCTACTTTTCTACGGCTGCTCACAGATGGCCATGAGCGAGAACTTCTACCCGACCGTCGTTGCAGAATCTGTCTACGGAGACTTCCAGGAAGCACTTTATCACCTACACAAGAAACTCATCGCCACCAGAAACCCAGAAGAAATCAGAGGTGGCGGACTCCTTAAATACTGCAACCTTCTTGTACGAGACTACAAGCCCGCAAAACCAGAAAAAATCAAACACCTCGAAAGGTACATGTGTTCACGATTTTTTATAGACTTCGGCGACATAAACCAGCAGAGGTCGAAGCTGGAAAATTACTTGGCCAACCACTTCATGGGTGAGGAACAAAACAAGTACGAATACCTCCTAGTTCTTCACAGAGTGGTGGACGAAAGCACAGTTTGTCTGATGGGCCATGAGCGCCGGCAGTCCTTAGCGCTCATAGAAGAATTGGCTTGCCGGACCTATTATTTCGAACATCAAGCGAAAGACTTGTTCCAGCCTCATCCGCATATCGTTTTTGGAGGTGGTTTCTTCTTCACACCTTATGCACCCTACCCATGCTCCTGTTCTTGGATGCCATGCACGTGACCAAATTCTCACTCACGTCCGTCGTGCCAATCAAAAATATATCCGGGATTTATTTTTTAAATCTATTTTTGTTTTATCTTCCGCCATGAAGCGCCAAGAAGAGATAACGTGTATCTCTTCACCGGTTTTGTGTTACTGCGTCTTCTTTTTTTTTCTTTTTGTAAAGTTGTATTTAATTTGTAACTCATCACTCAGCATTGGGTCCAAGTGTGGATCTTTTGACTCATTCTGTACATCCAGAAATTCTATTTCGAAATATCTATGCAACTTCGGAACGCTGTGCTTCCTAACTATTCGACATGAATTACAAAACGTCGCCACGGAGAATCAATCCCAAGATCAAAAAAAAAAAATAATAAAAATAAAAACCAGCTATTTAATTCCACATCACTGTGATTTGTTTTGCGCAGTAGTGGGCCTTCCTTAACAAAGTGACAACCTTGCAACATCTCCGTTATGGTGACATTCTTGTTCGAATTGTATTTGCGCACAATTGTCATCTGTGTGAAGAAAAATAACAACTTGAGTTTTTAGGCCCATGTCACGGCGCGCTTTGTTTTGAAATTGTTCACCATTTTAGGCATCTGATAAAAGTAGTCAAACCTGTAAACATCCACTGCCCTTTCCTCCTGTTGGCTAGTAGGAATAACCAATTTGCAGTCATTGTGTTCAATTTTAATTGCCTTTCTCTTTAATCTTATTTCAGCGCTAGTGCCTGACATATGTAGACCCCGATTCTACTATTTGTCTAGTGTCAAATGATTCTTGATGTCTAGTCAGCTCTAGACCCATCATGGCAGAGGACGTACAAGCCGGGCTCATGAACTCTTAAACGTTTTCCTTGTAATGTCACTTCTACATCATTGTGATTTGTAATGTTTCATGAAATGTTTAAGAAAATATGCATGTCCATAAACATTGAGTTATTTTTTCTCAATCATATATATCTGTGATTATTTGTATATTGCTTAGTATATTATAAGGAATATTTAATGGAGAATTAATTTTTTTAAAAAAATATTTTGTATGCTTTTAAAAAAAATTAGTTTTTTTTCCCAGTCAAGATAATTTTGTTATTTTAGTTTCTCAATTGGTGCAGGTTTATTTAAAAATGCTTGCTTTGAAAACGTGTGTTCTTTTTATTTTGAAATATTTCATGACATTGCCTAATTTAAGGCCCTTTTTTTTCAACTGTGCAATTATATAAATTGTATTATGCCATTATTTATTTTGATGTTTTTTTTAAAAAAAAATTCAGCAAACTTATTTTTAATTTCTGGTTGAAAAAGCGGCCTTTAAATCCTTTTAGAATAATTCCCCCTCCCCAATTTTCAAAAACATGTTGGTACTTGTATTCCCTCCCCTTTACCCACAGTTACCTATAAGCCTCTCCTCGTGTTTTTCTTTTTTGTTCAACGAAAACTTTAACGACAACGATTTCGAAAGCTATAAAAAATGTGCATAGTTCTCTTTTAGGTTATTTGATTAAATTGTTCGAGTGAAAGATGCTGACAGCAGAGCTGTCACCTGACAACCTGATAAAACCAAATTCTTAGTGTTTCGCCAATAAGAAAATGTCTGAGAATAACGACACATTAAAATATTTAGTGATTGACTTCATTATTACGCATGCTCTTCTGGCGAAATCTGATACGAGAATTTCTTCTTCAAGATTTGATTTGTATGGGATATATGTTTTCAAATACTAAAAGAAGTAGCTTACATGGAGTGATACACATGCCATAGGCTAATTGATAAATCTGATTCTTTGCAAAGAACAGAGGTCATTCCACTATGCGTCTAGGCTAATTGGCAGTCTTCAGTTTCATACAGTTAGCCTCAGGCTTAATACAATCAGCCATTTACTTTTAGGTTACTTAGAGAATATATCGATTGCTCAAAAAGCCCGATTTATTTCAAGCAGTTTGTAATGAGCCAAAAGCTGTAGCGAATTCAGGCTAAGAAATTTTTTTGCACATTTAGTAATTTGCCTAAAATACATCAGACTGGCTAAAAAAATACTGAAGATTGTACTACAATTAGCATGGCACTTTGCAAATTAACAGCAACATTTCCATGGAGTGCGATTTTCTTATTAGTCTATGACACATATACCCTGCAACATTTATTCAAGAAACTAATTTCAGTTAACGACAAACCAAATTTGTTAAATACTGAATTTTAAAACTTGATTTGTTTGCTTTCGTTATAAATTTTTATTTATATATTTATAGTCTATTTTTCTATTAACTGTACCAATTTTGAATAATCAGATAAACGTTTATCGAAACTACTACATTTACTTATGAAAATTTCTCAACACTTGATATACATGCTCTTTGCAAGGACAATTCATGATTATTATATTCCTTGGAGAGTTATTGCTGAGTTTACAAAAGGTATTGATAGCTTATTTTAGTATTAAAAATTATCTGACAACAAACGGCCTTAGTAAAAAATTGGTGCGATAGGCACGAAGAATTATGCACAACTTTTCCGATGAATTCACACTTGGAGAGGATTTATCATGGTCGGCCCACCGTTAAAATACGGTGGGTGAATTAAAATGGATGTGATAATTTCGAAATGAAAAACATTCCTGATATATATATATGCAAACTGATTCACTTAACCTTTTTTGATGTAAATAATGTTTGTAAAGAAAGAGTATTATTGAAGTGTTGAGATTAGAGAGAAATAAAGTATTTGAGCTCTCTCTCTTGTCTTTGTTTTCTTTTTAGCATACCCAACTTTATTCTGAGTAGGATTCTTGATGCTATGAGTTAAGAAACTTCTAAAAAGCTTATGACTAAACCTTTCATTTATGTAATAAGACCAGCTTATCTGAGCCCAATTTACCAGAAGGTACACAAAGTTTGAACCTAAAACCACCACAATTTAAGAGTTCTCAAATTCAAAAAAAAAAATACTTAGTACAACATATATACTTAATAATACTTAGCACAACATATATATTTTTACTTTGCAATAAAATGATTTTTGATTATCAAACGTGCAATTTTATATTCAGGAACAACCCTGCTTCTATCTAGTTAGCAGCTTCTGAGCTTCTAAACCAGGCGCAGATTTCTGAATTTTGTTGTATAGCTAAATTACTGTTCAGGACAAATAAGTTCTTATTCTTATGTTCTTTGATTGGGAAATTGAGATGGAAAAAAGGTTGTACTTTAATTTTAGAAGGCTGTGACAAATTCATTTTTTTCTAAGATTTTGTTCACAGAATTAATTGACTCCTTTTAACCTTTAATAACGAGTCCTAGAACGTGAGGGTTCGTTCATTAAGTCAAGTTATTCAGGGTTGTCTTTTTATATTTTTGCTCACTGTATATGTAAAGTTTTTATTTAAATTTTTATACATATAAAATTTGGCTAAAATATTAAATGATCGCCCTAGTTATTTATTAATCTGAATTTTACAGCCTTTTCTTAAAACGATGAAAAGGTCGATACCGTTTGAGTCACCAAGAGCGAATTTGAAAATAAAAACAGTTTTATTAATAATCCGTGACTTTTTCGACTGACAAATTATGCGAGAAAATCGTTTTTCTCCTGAAATTAAATAAAATTTAATAGGAATTATTACATTGACTGAACTCAAATTTAAAAAAAAAATGAGATTTTCTTTGCATTTTGACATATTCAAAATATGCAAACGGTTTGTCTCTGTCACCCACTATCTGTGTGTAGGTATACTTCAACCACTTTTATTTCATTAGAGCAATTTACTGCTACATTGTGAACATGGCAATAGTCATATGATATATCCCACACTACCCTATAATAATGGAAGACTCTCAGTTTTTGACATTTGTTTTTAAAGAAATACTTGGATTATTTTGTTACTTCAGACTTGTTTATTTCATGCGATTTTTCATACCTAGCAATAAAGTTTAAAACTTTCAGAGGTTTGAGAGACCGACAATAAATTACGAAAGAAAACTAGTATTTTTGAGCACCCTATACTACAAAATTCATCAGTAAACTTGTATCGGTTATTTTGATTGTTATTTGCAATAACTGCATAAAAGTTCATTAGCCTAGCCTAAATATTTATGGAGATATGTACATTTTTGTAAAATAATTCTATACAATCAAACAAAATTTTTAGAACATTTTAAAATAATGTACAAAATTATTGATTTAAAGTTTGAAAAAAATGAAGTACTTGAAGTGATTTTTGTATACTACGAATGAGCTAAAATTTTCATAATTTTGTAGTTTCTCCTTTTTGTCAACTAATGAAAAAGGTCTGATTAAAAAAGTGTCAAGCAATTTTCTTAGTAGTTTTCGTAGTTTTGAAAAGAATGCTCAAATTGACAAGAGGTTTTTCACAAGTTTCATTTTTTGTTATGAAGCAAGATTTATTAAAAATGACACCGGCAATAACCGAAACTACAAAATGAAATTTGTGAAAAACTCCTAATTCTTTTGTGCTTTCTCTTAAAAAATACACAAACTTCTTAAAAAATTACTTAAAAATCTTCAAATTTTTAAGATATTCTGATCAGACATTTTTCTTCAATTGCCAAATACGATTTATGGAGAAAAAAAATTTCCATGCATGCGTATTATAAAAGAACTACTTTAAATACGCAGTTTTTTTAACAAATTCATTTTCAATTTTAAAACCATAGTTTTGTCATTTTCAATTGTTCAAAAAATTTTATTTAATTTTATTGAATAATTTTAAAGTCATAGCGAAATATAGTAAGACAAAGTAATTAGTTTTTTTAAATAAAAATGTTCATATCTCCATAAATACTCCTTAGTTTACAAAATTCTATGCTGCTATCGAAAATAGCAATCAAAGTAATTGGTACAAGTTACAAGCATATTACTTGATTATCTGGCATGGGGTGTTTTAAAAAAAATAATCTCTTAATAATCCCCCAAATCTCTTAAAGTTTTTAAACTTCATTGCTAAAGTATGAAACTCGTTTGAATCAATTATCTCTAAAGTTACAAAATAATCCTCTAAGTATTTCTTGGGGAATTTTAAGAAAATGTCAAAAACTGAAAGTGCTATTATTGTAGAGCAGTGTACTTAGAAATATCTAGGTCAAGATATTACATACATAAAACCCATACACTGAAAATACTTCCTTAATCTAAGAAAGGTATTTTCAGTGTTCGATTCCGGGACCTAACCTAACATTTGAACGTTCATTCAGTAGCACCGGAAAAAAGCAACGAAAAGAACAAATATAGAGAAAGCACCAGGAAAAAAAAACATCATATAAAAAATAGTATATAAATTTAACGTCTGGCATAATTTCTGACAGTTGAGCTGGTTGAACCCGAATTACTATACACAGTTTAATATTTATTCAAATGAAATTCGGTATATTTAAAAAAAAATTAAAGTACAAGGATTCATTGAAAGTTCACGATAGGAACTTCTCGTACATTAGGGGCCGTTCGAAAAGTACGTACACAAAAATGGAGAAATTTTAACCCCTCCCCCCTTCGTACATTACCGTACATAAGGTCTTACTCCCCTCCCTTAGAGTACGTACATTTTATTAGTCTACCCCCCTTTTTCATAAAAATTAAAATGATTACGTTTTAAATAAAATTAAATATTTATTTAAAATAATTTATTCATTTAAATTATTTAAACAATAACACCTAACTTTATCTTTGAATCAATAAATAAAACAATCTTATCTGATCAACATAATAATTTCCTACAATCAATGCAATTAATCTACATTATTTTCCCAAGGACATTCCAAATGCTTCTCGAGAGACACCAATTCAGCGTTACTCTTGTCTGCGACTGATGAAAAATTTAGATTATCTTCATCAACGAGATCATCTTTGATCCACTCTGCATCATCTTCGTTTTCCTGGTTTCGGAGGATAACCAAAAATACTAGTTTTTGAGAACTGATTTACTCATTCTAACAAGTGGTCGCCGTGTGAAAAAAATACAAGAACAAACATATGTATAATGCATGTGTAGGAAAAAGTCAAATTTAAATTTGGTGTATGCTTATAATGTACGCAGTTTGTATAATACCTCCTCCCCTCCCCATCGTACAAAACCGTACGAAATAGCAAATCCTCCCCCCCTTCGGGATGTACGTACTTTTTGAACGGTCCCTTATACTAATTAACAAAATTTTCAAACTCTTAAAAACTTTTGGAATTTTTCTGAATTCCAATTATTACACTAACTGTAGTGTGGCAAAATATTATACTGTTAATGCTTTTCCAACTGGAGAATTTTTTTTTTTTTAATTTTATGAAAATGATAACATTCATAAAAATTTTTATTACTTTCAACTTATTACAGAATTAAGCTCTTGTGAAACTATTGCTAATTTTTGCATTATATATCCATCCCTTTAATACAATTCTACTTTAAAAACATCACGAAACGAAAAGATCCATTCCACAATTCCGAAATAAAACGAGTTTTCTTTAATAAATTGTCACGAAATAAATACTTCAACACTCGAAAGTACGTAGGCGAATTCGAATTTTCCTTATTGTCTTCTATATTATATATATTAAAATAGTTAACTACTTCATTTCCTGACGTTTCAAAATCTTTTTAAATTTAAAAAAAATTCCTTTTTTTCAATAAATGATTCCTTTTTTTTTAAATATTTTATATAAAAAAAAATTTATTGATATAATTTGACATATATACATAAATAATGATACTATTAAGTACATGGCATAGTTATATCATGTATTTACATTAAAAGCACATTTTCTCAAACTTCATTTCAAACTTTGTATATTAACCAATTTTTAAAAAGTAACTACATTTGCATAAATATTAAATTAAATTCGTGATTATGAATTCACAGCCTTGCTTGAATGAAATGGGTCATTAAATTCAAGTAATTGCTAATCAGATTAAGTTAATTTCTCATTGCTTTTTCCTAGTGTTCTCTTTTCCTTACTTTCACTAGCAGGGTTTTTTTCCCCTCCGAATCATTTTTCCGTGGTTCTAGGAAACACCTATTGCAAAAAATTTCACAAGTTCTTCGAGTATGTGGCGAAAATGTGTAGTTGTTATTCCCGGCGCAACGGACGTTGCGGACTTAAACGGAGTTCCGTAAAAATTTATTTTTACCAATATCCATCAACCACCTTTCACTAATATATCTATGAGTCGTGGTGGCTCAGGGGATAGAGCTGTCACCATCCAATGAACAGGTGAAAAGGGTTCGAATCCCAGCGATGGCGGGTCGATACTTATTCCGCACCATGATCGTACCGATCCCATTGCTGACGTAAAATATCTTCAGTGGTAGACGGATCAAGGGTTAGAATCCCTTGGAGACCCTTGGCTAACCCTGGGAGATTTTCGTGGTTTTCCTTTCCATTTAACGCAAATGCGGGTTAGTTCCATCAAAAAGTTCTCCACGAAGACAAAATTTCTCCCAATACTTGATCCAAGAGTGTCCAAATTGGGTCGTCTGTTCAACAACGGATATCAAATAAGTAAATGCCTGGAGAGCCTGGTTAGTACTGCATTGGGTCCATGTCCAAGAGGTCATGGGATCGATAGCCGCTGACCGAAGACTCTCCGAAGTAGTGTTGAAATGGTGACTGATGCATGTTAAACCTATTGAGTCTCAAAGTCCCCCATTTCCCATAACAAATCATACCTCTGAGGGTACTGATCCAGGAGTTTCCTTGTCTTTTGGATTGGGTTCAAAATTACAAGGCTACGGA